ATATAGGGATGGCTGGTTAGCTCACTTAGGAGAGTGTGGTGCTGACAACACCAAGTCAAGGATTAAGATTCCCTTAACAGTCATCTTTTTAAAAAAAGGGGAAGGTTTAGACAAGGAAGCTTGGAGATCACCTAATGAATTTTGCAAGAGATGAGAGCTGTTCACAGCCTAGGTGGAATGATCTGACTTGAGGTCAGAGGTGGGGTAAAATCTGAGGATTAATGGGAGGTCGGATTCAGATAAGTGTAAACCAGGAATGCCAGCAAAAGCGAGGTGGATAATAGCAGCCAACACTCCGTGCGCTTTTATGACAAGGCCTGACCCATGTCTTTTTTGCGCGATCACCTGTAATAGTTACAGCAACCCCGCGAGGTAGGTAATAGCATTCCCAAGAGCAAATGTAGGTCTGCAGATTCCAAAACATGAACTGCTAACCACTGTGCTGTTACTGTGCAGGGCATGTCCAGAGGCTGGGACAGCATAGTCCCAGCAAAGAGCTTTTGTAGAGGGGTGTAGAATGAAAGCCCAGAAAGGGAAACAGGGCTGGATCACAGGGCTCTGAAAGCAGAGTGTACTTTAGAAGTGTTTAGTAGACCATGTGTGATCACTGAAATAAGCTACCAAGGGAGTGCTGAGGCCAGGCAGGCTTCTTATGTGAAGGTGATGAGTGGGACGGATAAGGTGAGGGAGGGGTCGGGGCGGGGACACGAATTGGTAGACATGCATGTTTCCTCCTAATCCCAGGTAGCACGGAAATCCTTTTTAATCTCTGGCATGGTTACTGATGTCTGCGGGCTGTCTTCCTTTGGTCCAGATGTGATTTCTTTTACATTTCACCCACGTGGGTAAACACCGATTTTTACAGAAAGTGGTTCTGTCCCCACTTTATGACTGTTCCATTGTCTTCCTGAGATGACCCAGGCTTCTGATCACAGCCTTGGGGGTCTGAGCAAATACCAAACTCCATCATGCCAGAAAAGTGTTAATTAATATACTTTGTCCTTCAAAAGATCCTGAAAAGGGGCCGGCCCGGTGGCGCACTGCTACAGTGCGCCACTTGGGAAGTGCGGCNCGTCTTTGAACATGTGGAACGTGTTTCTCTTCTTGTTGGATGCCCCCACAGAGCTGCTTCAAGCAGGGAGCTGCTTTTGAAGTTGGTGGGAATACCGATCTGTATACAGCAGCACAGGCACAATGTAAAGTTAGAAATATACACAGTCTCACAGACGGAGCATTTGTGTGACCCAGTGTGAGAGTTTCAAATAATTTCCACCGAAATAATTGGAATGGACCCAACTTAAATTCCCAAGTCCAATGCTTTGTTCTTCCCATGTTAACTTTCAAATCAAATGAGGCAGCAGTGGTCTTTAAGTTTACTGTGGCCACACCACTGTGCTGGGTGCCTCGGGGAAGATGAGGAAAGGGAAGGGGAGTGAGTCCTCTGCTGATGGCTTCCCATCGGGGAAGACAGGCGGTAGTCTGTGCAAGGTTAAATAAGAGGAAGGTTTAGGGCCAGCCTGTGGCTCAGTTGGGAGAGTGTGGTGCTGATAACATCAAGGCCACGGGTTC